GGTAAAAATAAATAAAAAATAAAAGTTGCACTTTTTTACTTGAGGAATTTGTTGAATAACTTCATAATTATGAGTTTAACTAGTTGGAGGTAATGCTACACTTCTCTGCTTCCTGTCCTGCTCATAAAAGGTAAACATTATAAACCTACCATTAATTTTCTACACTATTTGGAAAACACAACACAAATGTAATATAACAAAAGTATGTTTAAAAACAAACATGTTAGCATCCAGCCATAGCCATGTCTGTTTTAGAGACTAGCTCTCTTCTGCTCCTCCATTAATGAGGGGACCCCTCGGGCACGTAAAAAGTTGCCTAATTCCGTCATTTTCCACCAATGTGTCACTGGCCACCTCAAACAACTCACATCTTTGTCAGTGAAGCTGAGTGCTCCCACATCTCTGCCTTCATGGTGCCCATCTACATTAAGATCCAAAATTCTGAGACTACTAAATACTAAATTGAAATAAAATTTTAAAATCGGTAAACTTTTTTTTTTTTTTTTTTCAGTGTCCCTAATCCTCTCCGTAAGATCCCCATCTGGATCCAGGAACTTTTATTTTAAAAGACAATATGTCTTGGTGGAGGTCTGTTTTCAGAGTGCTTGTCTAGTTTTTAATTCTTATTGAGTTCTTGGTACCTTTTCATAATAAGACCAACTCACAGCTACCAAAACCTTCCTATGGTGTAAAATGAAGCCCAATTAGGACTTAAGGTTTTGTCATTAACAGCAGAATCTGATCACTCACGATGGTGGTAAGTGTGCCGTGTATTGAACACTCAGATTTTCACTAATCCTGACTGATACTTTGCTTCCTCTTTCAACTGGGTGAATGGCAGAGATATATATTTTTTTATATTAATCAGATACACCATATGCCAGAGGTTCCCAGTCTTCCCAGAGATAAATCATCATGTCCTAAACTATTAATTTAGAATAGTGAATGGATTTCATCTTTGTCATTACATTGTCGCAAGTACAAAGCAATGAAATTCACCTCAGCATTTACCGATCCCCTTGGGGCGCAGTGGGATGCCATATTGCGGCGCCTGGGGAGCAGTTTGGGGTAAAGGGTCTTGCTCAGGGACCCAGAGTGGCAGTCAGTAAGTGTGTGGCTTGAACTTAGAATCTCTGGTAACTGCGACAAGCCTGGTTTATGCCCAGAAACCAGGTTGAATGCGTTTGTGTCGCAGTTAACGCAGAAACTGGTGCACCCCCAAAATTGTAGGTGATCACAGACAGTGATGGCATCAAAGGGAGGAGAGAAAGAAGGCCTCCGGTGAATTTTACCTTCTGCCTGGCGCACCTTGGACACTATCCCAGACACCGTATAGGACGCTAGTTGCAGCTCTGAGCCACGGTCTTTTGGTTTGCACCCGAAACTAAAACACGCATCGCCATGGCCAGTCATTAGGAAACACTCACGGTGAACTGTGTTGTTGTAGTTGTAGGTGGCGAACAAGCTTGTCAAACTGACTCATGGACATCCCCAATCCTAGCAAGTTTGTGATTGTCCCAATTGCATTGTGGCGTGGAGTAACATAGCGCAGACCACACTTCAAAATTGGGCATAAATCAAAGATATCTATCATACCTGCGACAAGCTAATGCTACACACTGCTGCGGAAGTATGCACAGCTATTAGCTTCTCGTGCTGTTTGACTAAAAGCCACTCATCAGGCTCAGCCCTGCAGAGAGTTGGCACTGGTCACAGTCGTCTATCCGAGAGTAAAGTCAGAGAAGAAGAATAATTTCCTTTTCTGCACGTGCGCGAGGTTCAAAATTGGCTCGTAGCTCTGCTTCTAAAGCAGGATTCACCATTGAACACGTCACGAGGGCCGACTGAATTTCAAACCTGTTGGATTTTCTCCTGGCCTTACGATTCCTGGTCAGGAGCTGGTTGTGAAAGGCTAATTCCCCCACTACACAACAGAGGGCGCACCATGAGGCTGAAACCCGGCCCGATC